GAAATTCTTTAAAATCGGCGAACGTTTTCGATTTCCCTCCTGGGATCTTCTTCAGGCTTACTTCTTTATAGCTTTCGTTATAACCGTCGAATTAAAGAATCCGATTATAACGAAAGCTATAAAGAAGTAAGCCTGAAGAAGATCCCAGGAGGGGAATCGAAAACGTTCGCCGATTTTAAAGAATTTCGCACCAGTTAATGGTTAATTGTAGGTAGTTGTTGGTTTGAAGTATTTACATTAGGCTTAACATCGACGAAAATTCAACGCAAAGCGACACGCAATGAAGAAAAATTTCAACACGGGATAGGTTAATATATTTTTCGTACATAATCGGTTATCCGAAAAATAAGTTATCCGAACAAACCCAGTCCCCAATTGATTCGGATAAACGACGCTCTACTGTATACCAGATACATTGATTTTTAATGTTTATTTTTATACTTTTTCTTGCATTTTTCCTGTAGTTATGTTGATACTATGCAATTTTTTGTATTTTATGTATTCAAAAGTTTTGTTTTTTTTTCAAAATTTGTTAACATTCCAAAGTATTTGATTTTATGTAGACTTGAGGAAGATCTCCCTAGATAAAACACGCTCGAGAAAACCTTTAAATATGCAGCCGTATTTATTAAATTCTAACGTTTTCGGTCATATTCAATGACCTTTCTCAAGGTTTTCTTGAGCGTGTTTTAGTTAGTAAGAAATTGCAGTCTAGGATGAGTTGATCTCCCTAGATCAAAAATGTTTGTCTTTAAACATTTTTTTTTTTATCATTAAACACTACTAGAAAGAAAAAAAAGCTCTATGTTGAATGAGTTTCTTATTAGTATTACTTTTCAGTCTCATTTGGTATGAAGTTAGATATTTTTGTTTTTGTAGTTAAATTGTCTGAATTCATTATTCTGATATTTGATTTTGAAACTTTCTGTCGATAGAGAGTAAAATTGCTGAAAATTTTTATTTTATAAACTGGTAAGTTTTATATTATAGTTAGGATTAATTTTAATCAACCAAATAAAACATGGTGCTTTTGAGTTTTTCAGTCATCTTTAGTTAGATATAACCATTAGATAAATAATTTTAAAACAATAAGAAACAAAATTCAAACAAGAATACATATTTTGAAAAAACAACATATCTGATGAAAATTTCAATCATGAATGTTAGTTCAGAGAAGTTTAAACTTAAAAACTGTTAAATTACAAAAATTATGTTTCAGTAACAAAAGTATGTAAAGATTATTGTTATAAACTAAAAATGTTGAAGGATGTTTGTTTGAAGGAATTGATTTCTAGATTAGGCAAATGGTTTTAGTTACAAATGAGACTATGTACCATATTTTGTGTGGATAATCCACAAGTTATATTGTTTGAATATCAATTTGATAGCATTCTAAGTTATCTATCTATTTTAAATTTCAATTTCAAAATCATTAAACAGATTATTCTTTGTCTAAATTCATCAAGAGCATTTTCGGAAATATGGGAAATCTGCTATTGCAATTTTTCCTAAATCACCATACACATATACTGTATATAGCAGATGGATATATGTATGTATATAAAACTGATGAACACACTTGATGTTAAATTATTACAATTAATAAATACATACACTCTTTGAATTAATGCCAAAAGACTGTATTTATTTAATGTGTGCATTTACCAGTACATACTGTATATATGTGCCTTGTGTTTGCATTCTCTTCTGTTTATTTTGTGCCAACCCAAGTTTTAATTAATATTAATAGACACTCCTACTTGTATCTTAAAAGCTTATAATTTTTCAATAATTCTCTTCACTCTGTGTAATAACTCTCAGAGAACTATTTAGAAGATTCTGTTTAGAAACTGATTGTCAATTTCTCCTATCTTTTGAATCTGTACCATGAATAAAAGCTGAGCAATAAACTCTTAAATCTGTATCATTGGATGTTATAAACTGAAATTTTTTCGAGTTTATTTTAGCATTTATCATCATCATCATGGTGTTGCTAGAGTATATCATATTCTGTTAATATTGATACTTAATGCTATGCCAGACCTAAATCAAGGCATATCTAAAGGAAAAATTATTGTTGTTCTGTTTATGTGCTGTTCATGTAGTACAGTACATATCTAAACTTAAGAATTTCCTAACTGTAATGTAATTAGTATGACAGCATTTTGTAATATGATTTATATACTGTTGTGAAGCTGTAATGTTTCTAGACTTTTATGTAGTGTATTAGTATAACACCTGTACAAGAAAGGACTATAGGCACAATAAGTACCTTATCCATTCTCTACAGATGCTTTATTTTGTGGATGAGTTCTGAATATTTACGAAATTTTTTTACTGTATATATTTGTATGTTGTATGCATTTAGTATAGTTATGTTTATAATGTATATGATTTTGTTTTGTTTGTCAATGAATATGATATCTGGGTATGTTGTGATAGATTGTTTTGTCTGTAATTTTGGCTTGATCATAGTATATTTTTTATGTTGTTGTCTATGACTATATAAAATGTGTATTTGTGGTGTGATTGCTGGGTGTATAATAGTTTGTTGTTTGTAAGTCTTTGATGTAACTTATTATATTTGCTATTTGGTTAGGTTTATTTAAGTAGTTCTCTGAGCTAAAATCTAATATGATGTGTTTTATAGTTTTATGCACTGTATGTTTTAAAATGTGCTTTCTGTAGTTTCTTATATTTTTGGCTTGGTCTTATATGGCAATGATAAACCTTTCCTGATGGATGCCTCTTTGGAGAGATGGAAGTCTGACTTCCATCTCTCCAAAAAAAGGATCCATAGTCTGACAGTATTTTGATGCAGTTCTGTCATTGTAACTCTGGTTGAGATCATTAGGGTGTCTACTGTGGCACTCTTTTTGAGCTCAACATTGCCTGATGATGTCTACTCATTTGTGCAGTGTGTTAGATCCAAGTTAGTGTTGTGTAAGTTTAACAATGTACTGTTTTTGTCTGCAAAAGTTACAGCTTTGTGTAATTGTGATGTTTCTTGTTTCTGGTAGAAAGACTCTTGTAGTGTCTGTATTTATTTGTTTGTGTACAGGTTTAAAATATCTGTGTAGCCTTGACTTCTCTCTTTCTGAGAAGAGTTAGCCATTCTATGGATGAATTAGAATGTTGTTTGTTTTGTTTTGTTAGTGTTGTTGTTTTTCTTTGGATTGTTCTAGTTCTAGTGAATTATGGGAAGGCAGGTCTTGAGTGTTTTAAAAGTGAGTTTTGCATTGAGCTATATTGTTTGTATTGAGTTTAATCTGCTGTTGTATTCTTTCTTAGTATCTATTTTATTTGGGCATGTTCTATGAGTTTGGCCTGTTGAAATCCTAAATATCTGTAGACCGCCCTTACTTATCCATGAATTCAATGATGTCTTTATTTCCAAGTACAAAATCATCTATATTCAGAATTCTAGGCCAAATTCCATTTGAATGTCAGTAGAGTAAGTACGTGTGACTTCTAATAGATTATTTTAGTGTCTTTGAGTTTTATGTTGTCCGTGTACTGTACATGACTTAGATAACATGTATTATTCTGTTGTGTTTGATATTCTATCCATATTGTGTACTATTTGACAATGGATTTAAGAATGAAAATGTTTTTATGTGTATTTGGTTTGTTTTAATAATGTATGTTTGGTCGTGCGGTGGGGGGAGGAAGCGGTGGGTTGGCGTCCAATAGCGATTGCCAGGCCAGAGACAAGGTTAGTTCCTCTTTCCGGCTAATGCAGGTAGTTAGCCGGTCGGCGTTGTGGATAGCTGCGGCTTCCAGCCATCTAAGCTGCTGTTGGTGGGGTCGAGGTGCACTTCGAGAAGGCTACCATTATTGTCAACACGCCCCACCAACAGCAGCTTAGATGGCTGGAAGCCGCGGCTATCCACAATGCCGACCGGCTAACTACCTGCATTAGCCAGAAAGAGGAACTAACCTTGTCTCTGGCCTGGCAATCGCTATTGGACGCCAACCCACCGCTTCCTCCCCCCGCCGCACGACCGCACACACCGGAAGAGACCCACCCCCTCGAAACCGACACCCGAATGTATGCTTGTGAAGTCTTCTGAAGTGTAGTGTTGTTCTCCATTGTTGCATTGTGTTTTCCAGAAGTGTATTTACTATTGAATATACTTTGTATGAATGTAGTATTTATAATAATAATTTGGGAATTTAGAATGCTGTCAAATTTTCTTGTAATTTATATAGGTGTCTATTGTTTAGTACTTGACTTGTGACCACCAAAATAGCTGACCCCAAAAATTTTTAGTTGTGGATAGTAAAATTTGATGCTTGATGTCAAAAGGACAGCATTTTAGTTGTGGTTCAAAAAATTTAATTAAAGTATATTAAGATTAAGCATGTTTTATTATGCTTAATCTTTTGACAGTCATATCTAATCTCACAGATACATTCAGAATAATTTTTTAATATATATATACATTCAGAATAATATATAATACATATATACATTCAGAATAATTTTTTTGATATAGCGTAAAACAACCTTTAGAGCTTCAACAGAAAATGGCAAATATAAAGTCCCAAGAAGTTAAGTATATGACCGTATTTTTTAAGTGCTTTTGTTTTGAAATAGTGTGGAATCTGGCAACTTTGAGTAGCTACTCTCAGGGGACTGACAACATTGATTAGCTAACATTACTTCCTTTTATTAGGCGAAACTGCATGTTTTTCTCAGCACTGTTTCTTGGAGATGCTGAAACTTATTTATACCAGATGAGTATAAAGACTGAATCAGCTTGTAAAAAGCAACAAGACAGTAAACGTGGTACAAATTACAGACAAATTTAATGGAGATGACAAGATGTCTCAATGCATTGTATAGAACAATGTTGCATGTGAGCTACACAGCTGTCAACTCATTATGTTACCTGTACTTTAGGCACTACAGTAGGCAAATGATCATCTATCTTGCACCTTAGATTAGTGGAAAAAGGTATGCCTGATCTGGTAGATCTTGAGTTTTGTTGCATTAGGTAGATGGCAAAGTCCCTGTACATCATTTACTAGGAAAGGGATTGGCATCTGGGTGCATCATTGGACAAAAACAAGCAGGCAAAGGTGATATAATGCTTTGGAAGTGTTGTTGGGAAGTCTTAATTCCCATCATTCCTGCAGACTACATTTTAACAAGATATACATAACACCATTGCAGAACACCCGAACCCTTTCTGAACATGACATTTCTTGATGGAATCCATTTCCTTTCTCTTCAGAACAATGCATCTTGCCACAAGGCACGTTTGGGAATCGTTTAAGTATTATGATTGTAGTTAGTTCAAATTTATCAGATGTGAATCCCGTTGAGCATCTGGGGGATGTTCTCCAATGGAATGTCCCAATCTGCCACTCCTGCAGCAAGAAACTTGTACGAATTGAAATGCTTACTTGTGACTACAGTATTCCAGATATTACAGAACACATTTAGCAACCTCACTGAATCCATACCTTGGAAAGTCTAAGATGTTTTAGCAACATATATTTGGAGCAACAGCATTTTAGGCACTTGGCCATAATGCTTTTTTTGATCAGTGTAATTGTTATCAGTAAGAGAAGTTATAATGGTTCTTTTCAACAAGTTCTCATGAGATCACCAAAATTAAGCAGTATGGGGTCTGTATAATATACTCTAGTCAGAAATAGAATACTGAAAACTATAGTTTATCTCCATCAACATCTTAGTAACATTACTAATTCCAAGGATAAGATAGAAAGCAGAAAACATAGATAGCGGGTTGGACACCCCTGCTTTAGACATTACTGCAGATGGACAAAAAAGACAAGTCTGATATGAAAATAGAGTAGCATGGTTGCAGTGTTTTTTTTTTTTAATTGTTAATGTTATGGACAATTTTCTTGTGTGCTCATGTTTGTTACACTTAAAATATAACAATACCACCATATCTGAAAATTAATATTAAGAAATAGAAATTTCATTTAACAACATACAAGAGTTAAATCTACAGAGACTTCATTTTCACCAAACAGGAAATGACATCACATTCTTTAAATATCTTGTTTTATGAGCTTTAAATGTGAGGAATAATAATAGTAATAATAACACTAGTGATATAGTAAAATAATAAAATAATTTTGTTACACATAAAAAAAATTAAAATTTTGAAGGTACAACCTACATTTTGTAGCTCCAGTACTTAGAATCTTATCCACTTTTCCTTATAATGGTGACATTTGTTATAAGGAAAAGTGAAACTTCCAAAGACTTATAAGCTAAACACTCAATTTTCAGAGGTCTGTTTTTCAGAAATGCTTGAGAAGTGGGTCCTATTATTTGTGTTTAGAGTTATATACTAACCACGTTTCATTTGAATTGGAGACCAAAACATCTGGCCTTCTCCTTGTTAGCTATATCAGACTGTTCTCTGTATAAGAACAGTTACCAGATAATCCATGTTAATATGGGAATAATAAGCCTGATAATAATAATCCCTGTCTGAAGCGATTAATACAAAGGAAAACAAGATTTAAATAATTCTTAAAATAGCTTGTATAACTCTTGAATTAGTTAAAGATGTTTATATTATAATAATTCATAACTTAGTAGTTTTTAAATTTAAATTGCTGGGGACAATATACATAACATTTTGAAAACCAATGTTTTCAAAATTTTATGTACAGTACATTGTTCCCATAAATAGAACATGTTTTGAAAACATGCTCTATTTATGTTCAAATATTTTTTGCTATTTAAGAATCATATGATTTAACTTCAATTATCCTCATGAATATGAATGATGATAAACTTGAAAGAGCTAGGATAAATGTTTCTTTTTATCAGAAATTCCAATTAAAACAGTATACTTGTATTGGTTGATTTTATGAGAAAATTAAAATTGGTGTTTAAATTTATGTATTTGATAAGCTATTGATAAACATGTTAGATATATATTTATGATTTTNTGCCACTGAATTACTGCGACAATGTTATAGCGCGAAATAAATGCGTCATTATGCCTTCACTGGGGCATAGTGAAGGCATAGTGACATAGCACTTTCCTGCGTGTTTGCTCCTATAAATTATACTTTTCCTGTTCGCAACAGAGTCGTGCCGGTTATATGTCTAACTCTGTTCAGGGGAAAATTTCAATTGAAATTACACGATTTCCTTAGGAAACTGGAAACGTATACATGGTTAATCGGGGTTCCCTGCCCCTATACTTTCCAGATCTGGTCTCCCCATTCAACTGTCTAACTCCATTATTGAGATTAAAAATGGACAGATAGACAACAGACGGAGCACAGTGGAAATTTATGTCTATAAATTTTTTTAAGTTACACTTTAACAAATTGCAGCCCAGTAAAAACCCTACAGTAACCGCGTCTATTTAACCACCGAACTCCGGTAGTCAGTGGATTTGCGCATGGCCAAAGGACTGACTACGTAGTTTTCTGGGTTTTCTTTGAATTAGTAACACTTAACTTGGGGACAGCTTTATATAAAAGTCTTCCCGAAATGCATCCTCCTTGACAGATTGCCCACGTGTCGCGTTACCTTAACTAAATAAACCAAACCAATTATAATAATTTTTTTATAAATGCGATATTTATAGGGATATGCTTAACTACCATGAAACCTGCACACCCCGATTGTATTTCCGCTTATTAACTCATAAGCCCATTGCCCAAAGTTCTTTCACGGGTATTGCTTAAGATGTTCCAATGTACATCCAAATTAATCTATGTGCAAAATTTTAAGGAAAAGGTAGAGCTGGAAGTGTATTTCTGTGTTGATGTTTATTTTACTTATTTATTATCATGTTGTCCTTGCTTAATTCAAAATTTTCTGTAGTTGTAGTCTATGTAATGTGCACTTTATTTGCGTGTTTAGTCTTACTGTCAAATCTACTTCCGGTATGCTTATGCCACAAGTTTCGAAATTTATCTTTACTTGGATGTTTTTGCTGAGCTTTACTTTTTTAATCTGATTTCACTAGTTTTTTTGTGAGATCACATAAAACAATTACTCTTGCATTTTCTTATTTAAACAAGTTATATGAAGTCTTCAGACGTTAAGATTAGGAACTTCGATTACAAGGGAGGCCATCACATCCTAACACTGCAAATATTAATTTAGACCAGTATTAATCAGTAGTCATTGAATATCCTCCTTTCTGGGAGGAGATCAACGACTACTTTTGGTCCAATTAACATCAACCTCCATGTGCACAGTTTTTTCTTTCTATCGTACTAGTGGTACGATGTCATTCGAATAGCAATATTACATAATACGAGGTTACCAGCCTGCACAAAATATGTTTTAAGCGGTTTTCGAGGGTGCCGAGTTTAAATATTTGGCTAAAATTGATTCGTTTCCAGATTACCGATTACAAACTTCATACAAATGCATTTTATTAACAGTTTTAAAAGAAAAAAATGTATAGACATCTTATAGAGAAATAAATTCAATTTTGTTTGCAAACAAATTAAAAGATTCATTTACATTTACATTAAGCTTACAGTAAGAACAAAATTCTTACTGTAAGCTTTAATGTAAACAGAATTGATTTTGGTAAAGATGGTCTTGAAAATTTATTCTATTTTAAATATTTAACCATATTATTGTCATAATAAAAAGTTGTTTTTTTAGTCCTTAATTGCATATATACCTAATTTTGTTTATACATAGTAGATAGGTTCTGTAAAAGTCTATATAGAAAAAATATTGTTATTATGGAAAATTGAAAGATTGGTTCCAGACCTTAAAAACCAGTAAAAATACTACACTAAACCAATTAATTTAAGAGGATGTGTTTAAACAAATCTTTAAATTTTAGTTACTAAATCAGAAGAGGGACAATTATAACTTACTTATCAGCAAAATTTAATAAATCTATACTATTGGCACAAATTTAATTTAATTTTTCTACTTTTTCAATTAAACACCAAAATATCTCTAGCTTTTAACACTAAATGGCATAAAAAACTATTCCATATTGAAAGAAGTCAGAAGAAATGTAATCATACAAATAAATTATTAAGATATCTCTGTCTCAATAATTCAATAAGGAAACAAAACAATGGTATATAGAGAATTTGAACAATTCTTTACATTCATTTATCTTTTATTCTTATTTTTTTAATGATACATCTTTGAGCAGAATAGTTATATTCTTAATTGACAAAACGGTTATGCACTCAGAATTGTCAAATAACTACAAAACTCCCTTCAGCTATGTCTCAGAAGGTATTTCAATGATTATAGCTATGGTCTGATTGCATATAAACGGTATGCCACTAGAATGCCTTAAAATTGCTACTCCAGTTCCTATAAAAAGACTTGCAGAAACTCACTGTGTTCAGGATTTTCACTGTACTTTTACACAGCTGATACAAAAGATGTATCATTAGGCTGAGGGAAACAGGATGGTCATTTTGTTGATTTTCTCACAATCAGGATTATTCTGACTTGACTTAGAAGGTGTTGGGACAATGGATATGTCAAGGAATACATACATGACAGGCATGCTCTGGATGACCCAGGCAGATCATCAAGACAGATGATTGTCTGATTGTAAGACCAAACATGAATAGCTGCACAACAGTGTCTTTGTCCACTATCCAGAAGCAAGTAGAAGTGTTGCTACAGAACACTCTGTCTTCATTGGTAAGACAGATTAGAATATGCAAATTTGCATGCATAGCTATCACTACATCTTGCATGCCCATTAACATCCCAACATAATTAGCTTTGTTTATAATAGTATCATTACAAAGAATGAACTACTATGGATTGGCAGCGCATTGCCTTTAGCAATGAATCTCTGGTTTATTTAGGAATGGATAACCATCAAGTGTGATGAATCCCACTGGTGAACACTTCAATTCTACCTTTACTATTAAGCAACATAACTGTCACCATTGTTAGCATGCTGATCTGAGGAACCATCTTATATGACATAATAATGGTATGAGGTAAATTGACGGCATAGCAATATCTTCAGGAAGTCCTGCACTCTTGTGTTGCCTTTTATGGAGGGCTGCAAGCAGCTATGTTTTCACAGAAGTATTTTTGTCATGTTGCCACACTTGTTTGTCTTCCCCGGTCTTCAGATGTCCATCAGGCATTTGTGGAACCAGATGAGACACCACCTTCAGCTGTCAATGAGTGTCTCCATGGCCAACTCTATTGTCACATTTATTCAAGCAAGAGAAGATCCTAAAAGGTACTAAAGATGTCTTTAAATTGTACCATTCTTACACTGGCAATTGCCACTTTGCTATGATATTGTAATTACTTATTATTGTTGTCATTATGTTTACACTAAGAAAGTTTCAAGTTCCAGTTTATTCAATTTCACTACTGTCTTTTTGATGCATAATTTATTTTGTTACCAAGTTTATTTATTACATAGCTGTTTGCTTATAGAATTGCATTGATTCTGTTTAGAACTAAGTTATGCTAAGCAAATTATTTTCAATCTAGCCTAAATTCTAATCTGTTGAGACATAACTACATAATATTGTAAATTTTCTCAAGACAGTTTACAATTGTTTTTAATTGGTTATGTAATTTAATTTTATATAAAATGAATTCATGCCAATTTTTATTTTTTCAGGTCGATTAACATGGCTTGTTTACATTATTGGAGCAGCAGTAGGAGGCCGTGTTTCTTTCAATAGTGCTGATGAGCATGATGCAATGGATGGAGAATTAGTTTGCAGGTTAGCTTATAATTTAATCTATAAATGTTTATTTTTGTCATTGTTAAATTAATATTCAAATAGTTTAAATATTTTCAAAGTAAAATAATTAAATGCTATACATGCTAAACTACTTTATTTTTATTTTTAAATATCAAACTTGGCATTTAATTTTTATATAAATTTTTATTTTAGATTATATATCTTTATTTCATATATTCTGCTTATACATATACAGTCAAACCTTGGATTACAAACTTAATTTGTTCCTAAAAGTTGTTCAGAAACCTGATTGTTCTCAAACCAAAACAAATTTTCTCATAAGAAACACTGTAAAATGGATTAATCCATTTCTGATCCCCAAAGTAAAAACTTCTTTTTACCTTTTTAGTGGCATTTCATGAATAAAAAGCCTACAAATGCAATATAATAATATTTATAATATAATATTATCTATACAGTAGAGCATTGATTATTCGACTCAATTGGGCACTCAGGTTGGTCGGATAACTGAAAAAATCGGATAACCGAAAATAATGAAAAAAATACATTATTAGTATAGTATATTAGGATATCCCATGTAATTAGTATATTGCTATTAACCAACTTCGTGTTGAATTTTCATCAATGTTAAGCCTAACAAATTTTTTTAAAATAGTAATTGTTGCTATTGTATCGTTATTTTTAAATTTATTTTATTGCTCACAAAACAAACAACCACTCATAATTAGAAAATTAAGTCTCATTTAAATACTGGCCTCCCTTCAATGGTCAAGCCGTAGATGCCAGCTAAAACACGCAAAAATTTAACAAAAATAATATTAAAGTATCCAAGACATAGCCAAATATTCTAGTGCCACATCACTAGCAGACATTTGAAATTTGCCGACTAGAACGGTCAGTTAACTGATGTGACAGTTAATCGGGGGTCGGATAATCGATGCTCTACTGAACCTATATCCATTTCTGCCAATTGAAACTGAAACTAACACTTTACAAAAAGTGCTATAAATAGAGACTCAACTCTGCCTGGTTGAAATATAACCAAATCAATCAAGCTGGACACCAAGTACTTTATCCACACTTTCCAAAATATTATGATACAATTGATTTGATTTAAATTTTAATTAATTAATTAATTTTGATTTGATTTTTAATTTTAGTTTCAGTTTTGGAGTAAAAACCAGTTTTAATTATTTTATTATTTTTAATTAACTGGCTACCTATTATTAATATGTATTATGTTAAACATTAATATTATAATATTTATATAATACATTAATAAACATTATTTAAAATGAGTTAAACACCTTTAACTATGAATTATTGGATGTCATTTATAATGTGTGAATGTCAATTATCATGGTTTTTATTAATTTGATTTAAATTGAATTGTGATTCGTACCAAATAGGGATTGTAAATTTACCGACTTTTTCATTTACTGGTAATTTGGTAAATGAAAATTAAAATACTGGTTTACTGGTAAGTTACCGGTAAATTTTTTTCTTGAAAAATAAAATTAAGGTGATAAAAAATATAAGTTATTATGATTTCCATTTCACATTTTTATTTCAAAGATATCAAATATAAAAAATATAAAAATTAAAGTGTTATTCTAAACTATAATAATAAATATAGAAATAAACAGAAATAAAATAATACAGAAAAATAAAAATACAACAGAAATAATATATAGTACCTAATACCATTTTATTGATTACCATTTTTAAAAAAATTAACTTCTCAAGAAACTTAAATTATTTATACTCTTATCTCCTAATTTTGATCTAATTTTTTTACAAAATAATCCAGATCCCGAGAATACCCTTTCTGATTCAACACTTGTTGGACGAATGGTCATTAAATTAAAATTAAACAAAAACTATCTCACATAAAATTAATAATGAGATATATTGTTGCTTACACTTACCTGTTTTTTTTTTTTTTTTTTCAATGTCCCTTTAGCCCTTTTAAATATCTATAAACACAATATTTTCTACATAGAAATTTCTAGTGTGGATTTTTCATTTACCAAATTACCAGTATTTTTTTTTGTCAATTTATCAGTTAACTGGTAAATTGATAAACCTGTATACAATCCCTAGTACCAAAAACCAGAAGTAGTAAATAGCATCTTACCCACATGCACATTGAAATCTAATTTGAATAACATCATCAGCAATGGTTTGTGTTGTGACATCTAATGACACAAGGCGAATCTTGGTGCCGCTATTCAATCAGTAGTCCTGTCATTGATTGGTCAGATCATCAACTTTCTTTAATATAGGAAGTTGACCATTGGTGGCCAGCTCTGCCTAGTAGCTTGTTTGGAAACTGAGTTAACCGGAGCAAATAAGGTGTTCAAAATTTTGTTGTAAACAGGGGCATTCATAACCCAAGGTTTGACTGTATATATAACCATAATATATATAGAATATATATGTATATATACTATATATATTTATATTCTGTTTCATATATATTTTTATGTTTAAAATAATTTAGAATTTATACATTTTATTTATAGGGTCCTTCAGTTGATGAACCTCACTGATTCTCGGTTGGCTCAAAGTGGTTGTGAAAGGCTTGAATTAGCAATGTTAAGTTTTTTTGAGCAGTTTCGGAAAATATATGTTGGTGATCAAGTTCAGAAAACATCTAAAGTATATAGGAGATTATCTGAAGTATTAGGACTTAGTGATGAATCTATGGTGCTTAGTGTGTTTATTAGAAAAATGTAAGAATTTTTGTTATTTTTATGAAATATTCATAATACTAATTAATAGTGCTGACACTAAAAATTTTTTACCTAAATATTCAAGATAATTTGGGTAATGCAGTGTTTCTCTACTGTGGTTCATAGTCTAGTGGGAATCTGCAAATGTGTTGGTGGAATTCTTGAATCCTCAGAAGAAAAAAGAGCTTATTACAGTAAAACCCTAAATTTTGAATTTTAAGAGACCAAAAAATGACAAGTTTGAGTTATGGATATATGTGAAAAATAGGAAAATTTTTATTTAGATGCAAAATACAAAGCATAAAGGATGTAATTCTGTGATATGTTTAGTTCAAAGTGTTTATTTGAATCAGTTATTTTTTAGAATGATATATGAGGCTATAATAATTATTTAAATAAATATAATGAATTAAGATATAGTACAAAATTACTTCTCTAACCTACATTGAATTTGTACCAACAGTTCTGAAAATTGTAAAAACAAATATTTATTGCAAATGTATAAATATAACATTTTAGAAATTGTTTTAACGTTTCATTCTTTAACTGTTACCATCGCTTTTAAAGTGGTCCAAAAAGTAGTAAGTCTCCCAAATGTATTAGCCTAGAGTCCTACAAATATCTCAGTCTGCTACTTGTAGCCCAATCTTGCAATTTCAAAAACCAGTCATATTTTAAAAGATAAGAGCAAAAAGGGTAGTCCATGGGTAAGGTGACATCCAAAAATGTTTTACTGTAAAAGCAAAGCCATATTTACCAGATTAGAGTTGTTCTTGGTCTGTTGTTCTCTTATAGCATAGAGGCACTTTGATCTGAATGAATGAGTTAACATATGCATATCACAGTTGGAAAGAATTTTCACTTTGAATTTCAAAGTAGATGTATTTCAAACTAACCAAATTCCTTAATATGTAAATCTCTATATCATCATCTGGAACAAAAGTACAGTACAGTTACAAACTAACAGGATTTGAACTATCTGAGTTTGAATTAATGAGGATTTTCTGTACTAAATCCAAATTTAGTAGCAACTAAACTCAGATTTAAAGAACAAAATGTGCAAAATTATACAAAGCAAAAGTATTAAAATTTATTTTTAAAAAAATTTTTAAAATAAATCATTTTAATTACAGCAGGATTTTTGTAATCCAACATTTAGAATGGTTCTGTACTATTGAAAATGCTAGATTACCAGACATTTTTTTGTATTTTTGCAAAATTTGAAAGTTACATGTAATCTGAACATTGCAGAAATGTTATTTTGCAGTTGTGACATAAACATATATTATGCACAGGAAAGCACTAGTGAAAATGTCTGGCATGACACAAAGTGCTGTAACAAAATGAATTATTTCTTTTGAGCCCATAGTTAATCTCTCAACATGTAGCAATATGTATGGCCACATCTTTGTCTTGATTTCCAGCTGAGATCATTAGTGATATGGAACACTAAAGATTATATGGTTACATGGAAAACCCAAATTCCAATTTGAGGAATATTAGCATTCTAGACTATTGTTGGAAAATCTGAATTATTGATTCTATTCAGAGGATGGATTACCAGATGTCAGATTAATAAACCTCTACTATATCAGATTTTATTCTTTCTTAAATTTCATCTAAAGATATGATATTTAAATTTATTGAGCTAATTACTTATTAAAAACAGAAAAAAATATTTTGAAAATATATACAGAAAAAATAACAGTAAGACTTTATAGAAAATTACTGTTGTTTTCAATTGCGATAATGTGATGTGTTCCAATATTACAATTGAAGTTAATGACTCTAAGAAGCTAATAATCTAATTATTATTTTGTTAAATATTTAAGAATATCATTTAATGCTATTTTATTCCTTAACTAGTTTTATTTCAGGACCACTATTGTTTATTTAGAAATTAATTCTAGTAGAAAATTAGACAAAGGATAATAGCTGATTTGATTTCTTTGATATTTTAAAAAAATGAATGCCCTATTTAGATTTATCCTCTAAATTATTATTTTATTCATCAAGATAATTACTTTAATTTATGAAAATATAGTGGATTGTAAATTGATGATGTAAGAAACTATTGATATATTGACAAATATGGTATGAGAACACACATATTTTTCAATATTTTAAAGGATGGATGATAATATTTTAATTTCAATATATTACAATTAAATAGCATCATCTATATTGATCAATGTATTAGTAGAATGTAAATTGACATTGGGAAAACTTGGTTATGTCTGCATTCTATCAGGAATTGCAGTTTCTCCTTAGCCTTCATTAAGGCTAAAACATTCTTTCTGTATAGTTTGGCCGGCATTACCATATTATAACATAAAAGGTCTATAATTTTAACATTTATTGAGCTAATTAGTTGAGCTAATTAAACTAATATACAGTTATCCCCATAATAACAGTATTAGATGATAGTTATACTATGTTATTAATACATGATAATTATAAAAGGTCATAGAGTGTTGCTGAATGATTATATGTAGAAAAAATTAAATGACATTTTCTATACCATCCAGATTTTAAGATAAAAATTAAAAATTTATATCTATGTTTTCTTCTTTTTAAGGAACTCAAAATATTGTTTGAAATTAACTTTTTTTGCATTTGCTTTATTAATATATTTAAGAATGATAATATTTCTAATATGTTTATGATTATTATATGTTAAAATACAATTTAAAAAATATTTATTCTCTTTTTTATTTATTTATTAAACTATTTTTTAAATTAAGAAATTATTCGTATACACACTAAATACTGATTGAAAATTGTATCAATAAAACTGCTTTCTTTGGGTAGTCAAATTTATTTGTTATAATAGAAACATTTTTGACTTATTTCAACAAAATTTGGCTTCCTAAAGTAAATTGTTTTTCAATAATTTTATACTGTATTTGTTCACCATTAACAGTAGGCCATTATAAGTGAAAAAGTTCTGTTTTTTGCAGATCAGGTGCATCAAGTTTTTTGTTTTGAATATAATAGCTGACTATTATTTTTCAATAAAACCTCAGAGCATCTGATGGTGTTTCAACTGATAACATTAAAAATCTTTTTAATATGTGAAAAGGTGCAGGCAATTGAAACTAATTGCTATATTTCATCTAAAATATTTGTTTTTAATAGACACTGTGGAATCTCATATTAGTGATAAACAAGAAATTCATATTGGTAAAACTAGGAACTAATGTACAGTTATCCCCCATAATAACAGTAGTTAGGTTCTGAAAAAGTACCATGTTATTCAAATCTATGCTACACAAAACAAAAGACTAATACAAAGCACAGGGTTTGTTTCAAAAATTTGCAAAATTGTACTATTTTTTTTGTATTTAAGAGAAATATGTTTATTAAACTAATCAATAATTAACTAACAGTCATAATCAAAAGTATTACACATTAATATAATTTTTTCTTCACTGCTAACACCATTAAATAAAAATTTTTTTTTTCAAAATGTTTTCATTCTTTGTGCTTTCGTATTGACCTTAATCTCAATTATCAGTAACATCTTGATTTTTCACTACATTTTTTCATAAAATTGATATTTTCTTTTGCTTGCATTTGCCTATTTTTAAAAATTTAATCATTTTATGTAGTAACTTTTAATTTAATCTATAAAACAAACAGAGCAAGTCTTTTGGATTCATTTAGAGCAATATTATCAACAATAGCGATACTTGTTTATAGAAAATCTAGGACAAAGAAGAAGAAAATTGTACAATCAGTTCTAATTAAAGAAAACCAGGTGAAAGGCATGAAACAACATTAATATTTCCAATATTATAAAATCTGTAGGAAAATATGAGGTAACACATGCTTGCTTAAACAAAAAAATATCAAATGACTGTTTTGATTTTAAAAATTGTGACTTTTTATCTGAGGATGTTCTCAAACCAATTTGTATAGGAGTATCCACCAATTTTTGAACCATGTTGTTCGAATGCTGTATTGTATGAGGGATACCTGTACTATACATTTTTGGGGGCATAACACCAATTTTGCAGCCTCTTGACACTCGCCTAAACAAACTTTTGAAAGATCACTCACAAATGAAATGGAAAGAGTGGATTTCTAATGATGAACATGATGAACATTACAGAAAATGAAAATCTGCATCATACCAGCATATTGTAGAGTGGGTTGTTGAGTGTTGTAAAGAGATTGATGATAACATTGGTTGTCTTTTGAGCAGAATGGGGTTTACAAAAGGACTGTACAGAGGAGCCTACCAATCAAAATTAAATTTAAAAAGTGTATTTTATAAAACAAAATTTTCTAATTGTAAAAACATCTCCAAAGCAAGTGAGTGCAGTTGTATGGAGTGTGATCTCTCTGAGACTGAAATCAACATTGACAAGCTGCACAAAGCATATTTGGCAGTTCAAACTACAGTGTTGAACTAGGTTGAAATTAGGTACCAGCATGTTTGTTATAGTATAAGGCTGTGTTCAGACATGCTCTTACATTGTTATATTACATATGGCCAATCAAAGAAGATGATATTTGTAAATTTTTAAATAACATCATCTTTGATTGGCCAGATGTGACTTAATGTAAGAGCCTGTCTGAACATAGCATTACTCATATAACATTTGTAGTAATTGTTAGTGTTTATGCTGTTGTTGAAAAACTATGGTAATAATGAAAATACAGTAGATATGTTATATACATGACATTTCAAATTGTAAAAATTAAAATAAAACAAATAAATATATGCTCTTCGATAAAAATAAAGTTTTGTGATAAATTGTCTTTCAGCCTTTTAAATTTTTAAGGCTTTATCTGAATATAATGGCATCAAATATAAAAGCCCCTGCATTTATAATGGTTGGCCATTAAACATGAACAAGTACAGTATGAATAAACTATGTTAATGTAAAATAAATTATTTCTTAACCTGAATATTATTAATCCTTATAATAGCATTTTAATGGAAAATGAGCTTTAAACTTTCTGAAATCTGCTGACAAAAGTGGCATTAAAATGGTTAATTATTAGCATTAATGTAATTTACCAATTGAAATTATTTTATTTCTTAAATTATTTTTTTTTTTTTAAGCATTACCAACCTTAAATATTGGAGCAGCAGTGAACAAATAATATCAAAAACTCTGCAATTGTTGAATGATTTGTCAGTAGGTTATAGTAGTGTTCGTAAATTGGTTAAATTGGATGAAGTTCAGTTTATGCTCAATAATCATACTGTAAGTAATATTTGCATATTATCTTTTTACTTAATATTTAATAAATGGCACATTGGTTTTTTTAATATTTATTGAAATTGGGTGAAACTTCAATAAATGTTAAGAAATTTATACAATAAAGATATTTTTAAATTTATACATAGCTTATAAATTGTTAAATGTATTTTTTATGAGAGATAAACTTATTAAATACCAATAAAATGAAGTATGTTTAGACTATATTATATTACATAGTTTCCAATAACAGGCCTTTGCCTAATATGACTAATAAATATCTTAAATTAAATTAAATTACATAGTTTCCTGTTATATTATTGGGAAAACATTTCTACAATTTTAATAATAAATATTGTAAATTTTATAGGATTGATTTGCAATGTTAGTATCAAATTTTTTTTACTTGTTAATATAAATAAGGATACACAGTACATCTATTTAATTCAGTATGTATTAGTGGAATTGCAATTGTTTAAAAAATTGTAAGCTTTTAATGAAAATTATAATTGATTATATAGTAGAGCATCATTTATCCGAAAGCTGATCAACCAAAACATCGGTTAACCGAAAGCGTTCTGGTCGGACTGTGTCGTGCAGAATCAAACATTTCTGATACTAGATTAACTTCCAAAATATAATTTTTTTATTTTTTTATTTTTCAATATATTTATTTTTTTGTACAAAATAAAGAAATAATTTTTAATGATACAATAGCCACAATTATAATTTTAAAAAATTTACATTAGGCTTAACATCAACGAAAATTCAACGCAAAGTGATATGCAACAGAGAAAAATTTCAACATGGGATAGGTTAATCTATTTTTTCATACATAATCGGTTATCCAAAAAATAAGTTATTCAAACAACCCCGGCCCCCAATTGATTCGGATAAATGACGCTCTACTGTATTTAATTGTAATTGTTAAAATGCTAGAACAGGAATGCTCTAGCTATTAATGAATCTCTGCTTTAATTATGTTTTCAATGAAACTTTATATCACTAGAATTTTTGTTTTTTATTACTATGGATCTGAAAATTATTTAGGGAAACAGTCATTTCATGTCTTTTTTAGAAATTACTAGTTATTTTATAAAAATTATCATTGTCATTAACTTCAAGTATATTTATTTTCTTACTTCAAAAGGAAATAATCTTCAACTGAATATATTGAATATTTTATTGACAGTGAAACAAATATTTTCATTATCATAAATATTTAGCCTATAATACTTTGAAAAAATTTAAACTGAAAATAACTACATTTTGACTTTCCTTAGTAGTAAGGAAATCCTTACTATCAAAATAAAAGATATTACATTTCATATACTTTTTGATACAATTACCACAAACAGGTTTTGTGCATCTCCAGAAAAACCTATTGGCTACTATAAAATGTGGAAATACAAAATGCTAAAACACAACTACAGGTGTGTATGTACAGTGGTATCTCAGGATACGAACGTCCCAGCATATGAAATTTTCAGGATACGACATTAAATTCGAACATATTTTTCCTCCGCGATACGAACAAAACTCACCATACGACATTATATTAGTTTGCAGCGCCATTTTTTATTCATTTCTGTTCATCGGTCTCAGTCCACGTGTTTGCTTCGTCGTGGAGGTTGAAATTAGGTACCAGCATGTTTGTTATAGTATAAGGCTGTGTTCAGACATGCTCTTACATTGTTATATTACATATGGCCAATCAAAGAAGATGATATTTGTAAATTTTTAAATAACATCATCTTTGATTGGCCAGATGTGACTTAATGTAAGAGCCTGTCTGAACATAGCATTACTCATATAACATTTGTAGTAATTGTTAGTGTTTATGCTGTTGTTGAAAAACTATGGTAATAATGAAAATACAGTAGATATGTTATATACATGACATTTCAAATTGTAAAAATTAAAATAAAACAAATAAATATATGCTCTTCGATAAAAATAAAGTTTTGTGATAAATTGTCTTTCAGCCTTTTAAATTTTTAAGGCTTTATCTGAATATAATGGCATCAAATATAAAAGCCCCTGCATTTATAATGGTTGGCCATTAAACATGAACAAGTACAGTATGAATAAACTATGTTAATGTAAAATAAATTATTTCTTAACCTGAATATTATTAATCCTTATAATAGCATTTTAATGGAAAATGAGCTTTAAACTTTCTGAAATCTGCTGACAAAAGTGGCATTAAAATTGTTAATTATTAGCATTAATGTAATTTACCAATTGAAATTATTTTATTTCTTAAATTATTTTTTTTTTTTTAAGCATTACCAACCTTAAATATTGGAGCAGCAGTGAACAAATAATATCAAAAACTCTGCAATTGTTGAATGATTTGTCAGTNCTAAAGTTTTTTTTTTTTTCAATGTACTACTTAGCTTTGATTTGAGTGTGTTATTCGTGTTGGAACAAATTATTTGGTTTTACATGTAATCGTACGGGGAAAAATGATTCACCTTATGACATTTTCATGATACGATCTCAGTTTTGGAACGGATTAATTTCGTATCCTGAGATACCACTGTATATGTATATATATACAGTAGACCCCCTATACGTTCTATTGCGTAGATACGTTCCACGTTATAAGAATTTCATGTTGTAGGAATCCTTAAATACATGAGCCAATCACAGCCTGACATGTGCAGTTTACAAACTACGGCTGTTTGAAAGGTTTTATTCCATAAAATTAATCAATTCTAGATTAATTTGACTCAATATTTCCAAAATACGTATAAATTTTTGGGAATAATCCATATAAACTATGCTATAAACAAAAAATTGTAGGATTACTTACCGAGTGTGCACTGTTCGATGTCACCATTGCTTAAGCTTGTTTTCATCACGGAGCAGTGCACCAAATGGCGGCCGTGATTTCTGATAAGTTATTTTTCTGCGAAAACTTCGTTGAACTTTGGAGACATCATTAATAGAAATAATTTTTATGGCCGTTGAATAAGAAATGTTTCTTTCACAAGAAATGTATACAATTAGTGCTGTATTAGACTTACAGTACTAATTTACATGCTGTACAGATGATAGTAAACTCAATTTACCCGCCTAAACTCTCCATAGCATGGTGCTGGACGGCGGAAAGTAGTTCAGCTGCTCGACCACTATTAGTCCAGATTCGACCAATCCTGTCACGACACAAGTCGGCGGCGACGTTTTACAAGTCCCTTTTAGCATCCTTATATGAATACTGTCGCAATTTTTTCGCTACGTTGTAGGAATCTCCGTTATAGGAACCCACGTTATGGGGGGTTGACTGTATCTGTGATTCTGTTCCTGAATTTTGTATTTCCAGAAGTATGGTACACTTTTCATTTGTCTCTAAATATGATTTCTGTAACATCAGAACTACCATCAAAGAGTTTTCCAGCAAATTTCTCATTAACCTATTATAATAAGTTAATGAGGAACTTGCTCTAATGTTGGAATTGCAAAGTTATATATTTTTATTTTGCTGATGATTAGATGCTGTATTCAGAATATTGTAAAGAACATATATAGGTCTTTGCTTGTTGATTGCTTCACTGAATAGTATCTTGACATTCAATGAAACATCTTTTCTGCTATTGCAATCTTGTTATAAAATAGGATGGTATTCAAATTTTATATTTTGGATTATTTTATGCTGGAATATGAACATCTGGATGGTGATATTCATAAGTTATGAACTTGAATCTCTCACACTGGTATAAAATGTGTCATAACAGATCTGTCTGTAAATTGCAAAGCCATAGTACCATGTAGAGTTGTTTTTATTATTGCTGATAATATTCTCCTGGTTTGATGAATTGTGTCAATTTAACTTTAATGCAATTGTTTTACATCGCTTTAAAATATTAAAGCGATGTAAAACAATTGTTATGTGTGATGATATAGTTTTTGTTTAATAAGGAACTTAACTTTTTAACATTTACTGTCATTAAAAATTTTAAACTAAACTTATCTGACATGTTTCTATATACAGTAGAGCATTGATTATCCGACTCAATTGGGGACTCAGGTTGGTTGGATAACTGAAAAATCGGATAACCAAAAAGAAGGAGAAAAATACATTATTAGTATAGTATATTAGGATATTAGTATATCTCATGTAATTAGTTTATTAGTATATCGCTATTAACCAACTTTGCATTGAATTTTCATCAATGTTTAGCCTAACAAATTTTTTTTCTTTAAATAATAATCGTCGCTATTGTATCATTAAAAATTATTTTTAAATTATTTTATTGCTAACGAAACAACCACTCATAATTAGAAAATTAAGTCTCGTTTAAATATTGGCCTCCCTTCAATGGTCGAGCCGTTGATGCCAGCTAAAACACGCAAATATTTAACAAAAATAATATTAAAGTAGCCAAGATATAGACAAATATTGTAATGCCACATCACTAGCGGACATTTGAAATTTTCCGACTAGAATGGTTGGTTAACCAATGTGATGGTTAATCGGGGGTCGGATAATCGATGCTCTACTGTATATTGAATAATTTTACAACAAGCTTTCCAAAGGTCACAATTGTTCATTAGCTGTGATATATGTGTAGGTGATCCTATATCACTACAGGTCTTTTTTAAAAGAAAAACCTTTAAACAAGAAGGATTTGAAACATTTTCTTTTAATTTTCCCAAAAAAACAAACTTTTTCTTTAACCTTACAGCATTCGAATCCTTTTTGTTTAAAGGTTTTTCTTTTAAAAAGGACCTGTAGTGATATAGGATCAATTAATCAATCAATATTTATTTAGATACTAAAATAGTACATACTTGATACCACATAGCATTGCTGAGTGATATAGGATCACCTACATTGGCACAGCCTATTACAGGATTAGATTTATGAAAAAAAAAAGTGATTACATTCCAGAACAAGAAGAGTTTATCAAAAACTAGGCTGAGTGAATAGTTGAATCATAGCACTAATTATTTGTAAGAGAAGGGGTAGAAAAACTTTTTCTTACTTTGTCAGGAACAAA